TTGAAAAGAATGTTCTTGCTTCATGAACTGGTGTTTTCTTTTTATATGCTTCATGTAGATGAATGGACAGAGGTGGACAGAAAACGAGGTATGCTATCTTTGGGCTGCATGCGTTCAGTCTGCATCCACAGGCTCACTCGGTCCTTCATCATTGGGCTTACTGGGGGACCTCTCTAAGTATTTCCAAGGAAAAACCTAGGCATTGAGTTTCTCTTTAGCCAAGAGACTGGTTATACATTGGAATCTCTTACTTAAATAAATGCAGCATATAGGATGAAAACCAAGCCAACTTTGGCCAAAGGATCATATGGCACCTAAGGTATCTGTCTCTTCATCAGTTCCAAGTTTTGCAGGGACCGCCGGGGTTAGCGGCTACACTTCTGGGTCGGCCGTCCTCTTTGGTAGTCCAAACAATTCTGAGACAGTACCATGCAGCCAAAGAATTGTGCTCCGACACCAGTGCTCCTCCCTGAGCCATTCTCCTTAGCACACAGAGATCTCTATTGAGCAGTGGAGAAAACTAGAAGCCTGTGGCTGCCTGGCTGCCAGACCTGTGGGCCGAAGCATGCATGCACTGTGGCCTTATTGTGCCAAATCTTCAGTTTCCCCTTTACCTACAACTAGCAGCAAACCTGAAAATTTGGCCAGTTCCTCAGAATAAAACCTTAGCCTTTCTTACCCTTCAATGCCACAAGTTCCTTCCATCACTTGACATTTGGGTACCGTTTACACGTCACCAGCCATCGTCCCCAATATTTTCCATGCTCTCGGTATACCAAGTATGCTGGGGAGATGATGTATGTAATATTTAAGAGCATGGGCATTAAAATCCAATACCCCATCCTAATTTCAGTTCCACCACCTGCCGTGTGACCCTGGACTTTAACCTCTCTAAAACCCAGTGTTCCTCCTTGACAGGATAAGGAGAATAAATCAAAGTTGTCGAGGGATTTAAATGAGAGAATGCGTGGAAAGTTCTAAGCCTTGTGCCTGGAACATAGTAAGGATTCAAAAGTAGTAACCATCCAGAAGTAGTAGCTTCTCCCTTTTACCCTTGGTTCCAAGTTGTATGTTCCCAAGAAACAAACGTATAGCAGAGGTAGTTGGTAAAAACTCAGTTGCCTGCATCAAGAGAATCCTTTCATCAGGCCAGGCTCAAAGGAAAACCCAACCGAAGTGCCTGATACACCCTTAACTATATTTTATCACCTCTTGTGAGCAACGTCTGGCCCACCTCCTGACGCAGGGTGGAATTTCAGGCAAGAAGTGTGGATTATGAAGGCTGTTCGCAGACATAATTGAATCATTGGAATTTATTTGAACTTAGACACTACAAAATAATGAGCAGAAACCGACTTGGTAGTCAGGACCAGGACGAGCAACGTGTCATGTTAAGAACTCAGTTACTAACACCTCTGATGCACCCGTGAAAAACTACATCCTTCCCTGCCCTTAGTCTCTGCCCGCAGAAACCTGGCTCCCAGCGCATCGCTGCCTCATGAAATCATGCAAAGCTCCCATGAGTGCCAAAAACTAACCCCAAGGCTGACCAGCAGGTCTGCTTAAAATCATTTCTCGGGTTGAACTGAAATACGAAGTGGGATGCTTTCTGCAGGGCAGGGACAGCCGTCACGTCCTCTTTGTGCCCTGGTGTCTATCTCCCGTCTAGTAGAGACTTAGGCCACCTCAACCAAGTGCTAAGTAAAGCACGATGTGAGACGTACACCTGTCAGCATTTGCCCCCATCTTCCTTCCACAGGCTCACATTCGAGAGATGGGAGCTCTGGGTACCAGGGTCCAATCATAAAACCACCACTTTTCTCTTTGGGGTCACTTGTGTCACTGCTCTGCCCACAGGGACAGGGCGTGCTGTACTCTTAACAACAGCTAAGCTTCCTGGTTGTCAGGGGGCAAGGAGCCGTGGTGATAAAGCCTGTTCACTTCCCAGAGGGAAAGGCTTCGTTTTCCTTTTTAACTTTGCCAGAGTGACTAACAATCACCCTGCAATTTTCTTTCTCTTAGAATTGATGTATTTGGGTCTAAGCTATTTTCCTTCATACTGCTAAGGACTCAAAGACCCTGGAGAAATGGCTCAGCACCCAGGCAAATGGCAGCTTCCTTAAGCATTGACATAATGGGAGCTGATGCGATCCTTCCACTAGAGCCCTTCCTCTTTGGCACTCCTCCTTGCCCTATATAAATCCATGGAGAATTCTTCAAATTCTTTCTCTCAAGGCCTTATGCGTGGCTTTTCGTTTGTACCTACTTCCTTGCAAGTTCTGCATTTGATACAGGCTATCCTAAGACAAAGGGAGAAAACCCACCTGCTTGCTTAGTTCAGAGACAAAAGACTATTCATGAAACAAACCCAGAGAAGCTCATATGTCTCCAAGCTGTCCACACTGGGGAAATGTTAGTGAACATTAATGGCAAGCTGCAATGGGTTCAAATTGTCAGATGTGAGAGGTACCCTGGGTTGGTAATGGGTTTGGTTCTTGCTCACAAAGAGGATGGAGCCTCAGGTAAAGTTGAAAGGGCAAGTGTGAGTTCAACACTTCTATAAGGAGTCAGTCATTTAGTTCTTTTGTGTCTAAATGTGGGGGATCCCCTCCCCTCGCTCCATAGCCCTTCCATGTAAGATTTATTTTTATTTTTATTTTTTTAAGATTTTTATTTATTTATTCATGAAAGACACACACAGAGAGAGAGGCAGAGACACAGGCAGAGGGAGAAGCAGGCTCCATGCAGGGAGCCCGAGGTGGGTCTCTATCCCCGGACTCCAGGATCATGCCCTGGGCCAAAGGCAGACGCTAAACCGCTGAGCCACCCAGGGATCCCTAAGATTTATTTTTTATTTGTTTATAAGATAGACTTTTTTTTTAAGATTTCATTTATTTATGTATTCATGAGAGACACAGAGGCATAGGCAGAGGGGGAGGCAGGCTCCATGCAGGGAGCCCAATGTGGGACTGGATCCCGGGTCTCCAGGATCCTGCCCTGACCCGAAGGCGGACGCTCAACCGCCGAGCCACCCAGGTGTCCCCCATGTAAGATTTAAATACAGCTGAGCTCTCAGCTCGCCCTTCTCTCCGAAAATGCTCTTTGAGATGCCTTTTTTTTTTTTTTTAAGATTTTATTTATTTGTTTGTTTGTTTTAAGTAGGCTCTGCACCCAGCATGGAGCCCAACTTGGGGCTTGAACTCATGAGACCTGAGTTGAGATCAAGAGTCAGATGTTTAACTGACTGAGCCACCCAGGCACCCTAAGATTTTATTTTTTTAAGTAATCTCTACACCCAAAGTAGGGCTCAAACTTACAACCCCAATATCAAGAGCCGCATGCTCTACAAACTGAGCCAGCCAGGCACCCTGATGCTGGCCTGACCCCAGGGTACTTCTACTTCTGTCACTTATTTAAAGCTGGAGAGGGGGCCTGAAACCATGACCTGAATGAGCTACCCTGTCTTCCATCTCTAAACTACACCGTCACAACCAATCACCTGGTGCCAGCAACCTTTGGCAAGAGAAAGGGGCATTTGAATCCTTCAGTGATAGCCACTCATAAACATGAGTCACTCATTAAACAATGATTGATTTTGTATAATTATTGTAAGTCATCAGTTTTCTTTCAAGTTTTAATTAATTATGAATGTATATTCTCCGCGTCCATATACTGTCACCCTTAGGCCAGGATATATCTGGCTTAATTAAGAATAACCTGTGTTTGGGGCGCCTGGGTGGCTCAGCCAGTTAAGCGTCTGCCTTTCGGCTCAGGTCATGATCCCAGGGTCCTGCTCAGCGGGGAGCCTGCTTCTCCTTCTCCCTCTGCTCCTCCCTCAACTCATTCTCTTCCTCCCCTCTCTCAAATGAATAAATAATTTTTTTTTAAAAAAAGCATACTCTGTGTTCATACATACCTCTTCCTATTTCTTGTACCAAAGAGCTTTCCTAGCCTTCAACTAATGTTATTTCAGTAGCACAAAATGTCTGAATGAGTTAGTGAATGGAGAACTAGAATTACAGACACTTTGGTTTGCACACGCCTTAGGATTTTTATTCTCACCAGATGGGAATTTTCCATCCGAACAACAATATGAGACATATCACCACAGAGTAACATCAATATTATAGATCAAGTATAGAAATTAAGGCATTCTAAAATGGTGCTAATCTGAAGTACATGTCTTGTAGAAACATTAGAAATGTTTTCATCTCTAATCAGTGGGTAAACCTGTCTATTTTCATAAAATGTTTTTTTCTTGGGGTGCCTGGGTGGCTCAGTCAATTAAGCGTCTGCCTTTGGCTCAGGTCATGAGTCCTGGGATTGGGCTCCCTGTTCAGTGAAGAGCCTGCTTCTTCTCCCTCTGTCCTTCCCCCTAGCTCATGCTCTCACTCTTTCTCTCTCCCTCTCTCAAATAAATAAAATCTTAAAAAAATTTTTTTTTCTTTAAAAAGAATCAGTCACCATTAATGGTCCCATTTTTATGAAATTGTGTGTAAAAACGTTATAGATTACTTAAAAAGACCACAAAAAGAGCAGTGCTGTTTCTCATTTTTTTATTTTTATTATTATTATTATTTTGCTGTTTCTCATTTTAAAGAGGAGATCTAATCTAGAATGTTCATAGAAATCTTTTTTAAAGACACATTTCCCCTATCATCAAGTGAGATAACGTATGTATAAAAGTGGTTTATAACCTCTGGAGCAAAAAAAATAAATAAATAAATAAATAAATGAATAAATAAATGTAACCTCTGGAGCACAACACATTCATACATTGTCACATTTATGTCTGCTCTGAGACAGCCTCATAAAGCACCCTGGACCCTGCCTTCTCTGGGGACACCTGTGTGGGTTCTCCCGAGGGAGCAGATCTCACCGGCACGTCAGCATCCCCACTGCGCGTGGACCCAGCTCCTCCATTCCATTCATAGCCCGCATCTCCTGATCCAAGCTTCCTTCGGTCCCTTGCTCAGCTCTGTTCTCTCTTGTCCCTACAGTTCTGAATGACATCATCTCCACCATGTTCAATCGAAAGTTTATGGAGGAATTGTTCAAACCCCAAGAGCTCTACTCCAAGAAGGCCCTGCGGACGGTCTACGACCGCCTGGCTCATGCCTCCATTATGAGACTGAACCAGGCCAGCATGGATAAGGTGAGTAGACAGCTGCCTCCTCCCCTCGGTTGCATTTCTTGTCCCTTTGGCACATGAGCACAGACTGGGTCAAATGAGATGAATGCACTGGTGCCTTCCCAGAAAAAGGCACTTGTACGTAGCAGTTCTTGGTGCTGAGTTTCGGAGTTGGAAGGGACCTCAAGTCTACATCCCAGCCCCTCTGATGTTTGTGTCATCCCACCTGCCCATATGGGCAGCTGGCTTTCGTGCCCACATGTAGGAACACACACCTCAAACCAATGCAAGTGCCAAACCCTTAAAAACTTTTAATTCTACTTCATTCTTAAACACAGCTGTGGCGTGAATTTTATTTTTATTTTTTTGAAGATTATTTATTTACTTATTCATGAGACACACACACACACACACACACACACACACACAGAGGGAGGGAGAGGCAGAGACACAGGCAGAGGGAGAAGCAGGCTCCAGGCAGGGAGCCCGACATGGGACTCGATCCTGGGTCTCCAGGATCAAGCCCTGGGCCGAAGGCAGCACTAAACTGCTGAGCCACTCAGGCTGCCCTCCTGTGATGATTTTTTTTTTTTAAGATTTTATTTATTTATTCATGAGAGACACACACACACACACACACGCAGAGAGAGAGAGAAGCAGAGACACAGGCAGAGGGAGAAGCAGGCTCCAGGCAGGGAGCCCGACGTGGGACTCGATCATGGGTCTCCAGGATCAGGCCCTGGGCTGAAGGCGGCACTACACCGCTGAACCACCCGGGCTGCCCGTGTGATGAATTTTAAAAGCAAATTCAAAACTGCTCAGTCTTTACTTAGAACATGAACATACCTATTTCTTTGGGAAACAAATGATTGGACCACTCTGATTTTTAAAATAACGAGTCCAAATAAATAATGGTGGAGAATAGGGACTCCTGGGTAGCTCAGCAGTTGAACATCTGCCTTCGGCTCTAGGCGTGATCCCTGGGGTCCTGGGATCGAGTCCTACATTGGGCTCTCCGCGGGGAGCCTGCTTCTCCCTCTGCCTGTGTCTCTGCCTCTCTCTGTGTGTGTCTCTCATGAATAAATAAATAAAAATCTTTTTAAAAATATAATTATGGGGCAGCCCGGGTGGCTCAGCGGTTTGGCGCCGCCTTCGGCCTGGGGTATGATCCTGGAGACCCAGGATCGAGTCCCACGTCGGGCTCCCTGAATGGAGCCTGCTTCTCCCTCTGCCTGTCTTTCTGACCGTCTCTCTCTCTCAGTATCTCTCATGAATAAATAAATAAAATCTTTTAAAAAAAAATTATTATGGGAAGCCCCGGTGGCTCAGCGGTTTGGCGCCACCTTCAGCCCAGGACGTGATCCTGGAGACCCAGGATCGAGTCCCATGTCAAGCTCCCTGCATGGAGCCTGCTTCTCCCTCTGCCTGTGTCTCTGCCTCTCTCTCTCTCTCCTCTCTGTGTCTCTCATGAATAAATAAATAAAATCTTTTAAAAATAATAATCATTATGGAGAATAGACAAATCTCCTGTTCAGAATATAGTTACTTCCCCCCTCCCTGTGTGGGGCGGCAGTCAGTGACTTCCTTCCAAAGGGACAGTATGGAAGGGGAGAGAATCGCTAACTTAGAGTGGAGAAATGACAAACACTACAGGGTCAACATCAACGGTCATGTCGATCATATGTACCCCGATACAGTGGGATGAGGATAGCACTCTACTTCTGTGGTCTTCCTCCTGGAACCCATAACCCCAGTGAGAAAAACATCAGACAGATAACAGTTGGAAGTCATATTCCAGGTATCTGACCAGTACTCAAAACTCCCAAGGCCACCAAAAAGGAGGACAGGGAAATCGTCATAGCCAAGAGAGGCCTAAGGACACCTGATGACCACGTGTAACGTGGGGTCCTGGGTTAGAAATAGGACATTAGGGGAAAATTAATGAACTCTAAATAAAATATAGACTTCAGTTACTTTTAATAATAATAATAATTTTAAAGGAATTTAAAATAAATATTTTTAAGGTTTTATTTATTTATTCATGAGAGACGCACAGAGAGAGGCAGAGACATAGGCAGAGGGAGATGCAGGGTCCATGCAGGAGCCCGATATGGGACTCATCCCAGGACCCCGGGATCACACCCTGAGCCAAACAGAGGCACTCAAAATCCATACTCCCTTCCAGCTGGTGCCCGACAACCTCAGGGAGATGGGCTGCCTTTAACTCTGCCCTTACCTCCTCTCACTGACTTCTGGAAAGTTACTTTATTTCTCTGAGCCTCCATGTTCTCATCTATAAAATGAGGATAATAACAGTTTTTCATCAGTTCTGGGGGAATTAAGTGAGAAAACATAGTACACCAGGGCCTGATCCATAGTAGATGTTCAGTCAACATTAATCATCTCTGCTCTCTCCTCCCTCTACCTTTAAGAAGGCTTAGGTTTCCAGGGAGAAAGGACACAGAATTTGGAATAAAAAATAAAACAGATTCGGGTCTTAGCTCTACCAGTTATTAGCTGCAGACTCAATTTACTAATTCTGAACTTTCCTGTCTTTATCTTTTACCTGGTTTTATCCTTTACTCCTCTCACGGTGTCCTATCCACATCAAGTGCCTAGCGTGTGATAAAGGTGGCAGAGAGTCCCAGATCTAAATTTTTAGTATTATATGTTCACACACACACACACACACACACACAGACATACCCAGGTCCTGGGTATGCCGCTTTCTAAACGGAATGTTTAGCTGCATGTTGGAGAAGTGGGATCATGTAGAAGGTTCTAGCAAATGCCTTAGGATCTGACCATCCTGAGGTCAGAGCTCACCCTGCCACTTACTACAAGCTATGTGGAATTAGGCAAGTCTCTTCATTCTTAAACAGGCTAGCATCTTCATCATAGAGTCCCCGTCAACATTACATGGGACCAGACCAGGTGATCTACGTGAGTGCTCAGCACTACATCCGTGGCCATAGTCTCCATCCTGCCTCGGATGTGCCCACAGCTTCTGTGCCAGACTGATTCCTCATGTCCCCCCACCCCCAGGCTGGCCTGCCACTGAGAGTGTCAGCCCTCTCCCACGCCCTAGATGGAAAACACTGATCATTTTGGACAGCTCTCATCCTCGACCCCAAACCTAGTCCGGCAGATGCCATATGTAACAGTTGTTCATTCGAAGAATCACATGCTCTTTTCCCTGCCTTTTCCCTGCCCCCGTCTTCATTCCTGGCCTTACTTCTGGATTACTCCAGCAGAGTTTCTCTCATTTTCGTAGTCACTAGATGTCATTACACACCTGTCAAGAGCCAGGTACCAGCTAATCTCCCCACCTCCAGTCTCCCTTCCATCCCAGCTCATCATTGCCAGACTCCCTAATCTGGCTTAACCACCACTTCATCACGGCAGCTCAGAAAACTTTAGTAGCCCCTCCAAACCCCACCACATCTAGTCTAAATTATTTTGCCTGCCTTTCTTTTTTTTTTTCTGAAGATTTTATTTATTTATTCATGAGAGACACAGGGAGAGAGAGAGGCAGAGACACAGGCAGAGGGAGAAGCAGGCTCCATGCAGGGAGCCGGACGTGGGACTCGATCCCGGGGCTCCAGGATCACACCCTGGGCTGAAGGTGGTGCTAAACCATTGAGCCACCTGGGCTGCCCTTGCTTGTCTTTCTAAAACCTTTAATATTCTAACCATGCCATATGTATCCAACCATGTTTCCCACAGACCCCAACACGAGCCACCCTCTCTAATCAGGCTGTTCTCCTCATTGTCCCAGGAAAATAGCCTGCTCACTGCTGCCTGCAGGCCTCTGCATGCTGTTCCCCTCAACTAGAATGCCTTTCCCCTCCTTCAGTCAGTGTGAACCCATGACTGCAGCCTTCTGCTCCCACAAAACCTATCCTGACCACTTCAGTCCTCACCAGTGTCTTATCTCTGATCATTCCTGGACAGTCAGACCACACATGGGGCTTGCTGATAGCTCATTAAGTATGGTTCAGCATTTAAAATTGCTCTTACACAGTTGTAGGACTTCACACTTGCCACTCACATGCATACTCTCTCCTTGACTCCTCTTAGCAGTTAAGCAATGACAGGAAGTTAGGGAGGTTTGTTTGTTTTTTTTTAAGATTATATTTATTTGCTTACTTATTTGAGAGAGAGAGAAAGAGAGAGAGCTCAAACAGGGGGACGGAGAAGAGAGAAGAACCTCTAGCAGATTCCACACTGCTAGGGCACTGAGCCCGACATGGGGCTCAATTCCATGACCCTGAGATCATGACCTGAGCCAAAATCAAGAGTCGGACACTCAACCAACTGAGCCACCAGTCGCCCCAGGGAGAGTTTTTTACAGATGAGAAGACCCAGGCTCAGAGAGGCAAAGGGACATGGCCAGGGCCATCCACAACACGACAGCCGCAGCAGCGGAGGGCTGGTTTTTGAATTTCTGCTCTGTGAGACCAGCACCCAGTCCAGGATCCCACGGTTGCCGACACCGTTCCAAACATGTTCCGTTAGCAACACATGTAAGCTGACCAGAAATCCTGGTTTTCCCAGGAATACCCTGGTTTATTCTTGCTGTCCTGGCTTATTTATTCATATCATCCCCTTTTACACTCTTGGGTTGAGGGATAACTGACATGGTCACGCGAGCTGTAGGAGATGCCCCAAACTGGTCTTCCGGAAACGCTTGGCCGATCGATCCTATGGAAGTGCTGATGTCTGCTTCTGTTTATTTTGTTCAGCTCTATGACCTGATGACTATGGCTTTCAAGTACCAAGTCTTGCTGTGTCCCCGCCCCAAGGATGTGTTACTGGTCACCTTCAATCATTTAGACACCATCAAGGGTTTCATCCAAGACTCCCCAACCATCCTGCATCAGGTGGAGGAGACCTTCCGGCAGCTGACTGAAGTAAGAGGGTCACCAGCCCATGAGCTCCCAGCCCCATTCTTGTTCTCATTCCCCTGCTGACAGCAGCCAGATTCCATGACAGATAGAACAGGACGAGGGATGGCAAAGCCTGCCACTCTCCCCCAAAATTCTAGAAATCTCCAAGTATCCCTTTTGGCCACGTAATGGATCTACCCTCCTACTGTCGACCTTGGCGTCAGGAAAGCATAGACACGGAGCCCACCCATTTCTTCCTGACTTTTCTGAAAGGGACTTGGTGGTGGATATGTCCCCTGCTCCTGTGGGGCACGCTGGGGCTTTGTCCCCTGGGGAGGGAGCCACGCTGGCTGTCCTGCTGCCCTGTCCCCCGAGGGCCCGCCTGGCCCTGCCTGTCGCTGAAGCCTCTCCCTGTCTCAGCAGACATACGGGGGCCTCTCAGCGGGGGAGTTCCAGCTGATCCGCCAGACGCTCCTCAGCTTTTTTCAGGACCTGCACATCCGGGTGAGTGAGTGGGCGGCCCAGGAGCACCCTGCACCGCTGTCCTGGGGCAAGGGGGGGCCAAGCGGCCAGCAGAAGAGGACTGAGGGTGCCCAGGGAGTGACTCCCCCGAGTTTGGCTCCATGACCATAAACTTCCCGATAACAAATCTCAGCAGTTGGTAAATGGACCAAGGAAGACAACAATGCCGCCATTACTTCCCAGTTACGTTGTTTCTCTACTTTTTTTTTAAAGATTTTATTCATTTATTCGTGAGAGACAGAGAGAGAGAGAGAGAGGCAGAGACCAGGCAGAGGGAGAAGCAGGCTCCATGCAGGGACCTCGACGTGGGACTTGATCCCGGGTCTCCAGGATCATGGCCTGGGCTGAAGGCGGCGCTAAACCGCTGAGCCACCCGGGCTGACCCATTTTAAAAGATTTTATTCATTCACGAGAGACACAGAGAGAGGCAGAGACACCAGCAGAGGGAGAAGCAGGGTACATGCGGGGAGCTCGATGTGGGACTCCATCCCGGGACCCCAGGATCACGCCCTGAGCTGAAGGCGGGCGCTAAACCTCTGAGCCACCTAGGAATCCCATGTTTCTTTAAAATATGATTTATTCTCTTCTCTGGAGGAAATGGGGTCCCAAGGATCCCAACCTGATCTCAGTTATAAGGCCTTCTCTCAAACCTAAGCATCCTTGACCTCTCCAGTAGCGGACAATGTCGGGAGGCTGCCCTCCCGCCCCACAAAACCCCTCTCCTGGCCTTTTGTGGCCCCAGACCTTCCTGGCCTTGCCCTACAGCCTCCTGGCTCTGCGCCCCTCACTCCTTCCCCCCTTCACCTCCACCTGGGACTTTGGAGTCTAACCTACGCCCTCCCCTTGCCCCAGCCCTGCCACCGAGACCCACAGCTCCACCTGCTTGCTCAGCTCTCCATGACGAGGTGCCAGGTCTGCAGCGAAAATCATCTCCAAAATTCCAGTCCTGCCCCACTGCCTGCCGACTTCCCGATTGCTTTTGAAGGCGCCACCGCGTCTTCACTCACTCAGTTTGATTCTCCTTCTCTGACTTTCATCTGACGGCCTTACCAAGGCTGCCTTGCCAGGGCCCACGTCCTCCTTTCCCTGCTTGCTGGCCCCAGCCTGGCTCGGGCCCTCCTCTGCTTATCGGCTCTTGCTCCCAACTGACCCTGCCTCCTCCCTTCAGGCCTGCTCGGGACAATTCTCCACCTAACTGCTGAGCTTCTGAATGTGGGGCCCGTCTCTCTTGGACAGCACTTTGTTCCTCTGCATAATTTAACTCCCTGCTATGGGAAGGACGGGTGATAGGGCAAAATGAGCCCAGGCTCTGGAGTCAGACATCCTGGCATTTGAATCCCAGCTCCAGCACAGATCTGTGACCTGGGGCAGATTACTGCTCTTGAACCTTACTTCTTCATCTGAAAATTGGACATGATAATGCCTAATCCCGAGTAATAGCCGATGCAGCATGTGTAATACGTGTGTATTTGCTTGTATGTGTACAGGCGAGAGTGCTTCCTTCCAGCAGTTGGTCCCAGTGATTACCTCCTGGCTGTAGACAACTGCAAGGAGGATGGGAATAGGACAGAGACTTGTGTTCCATTGTATACCCTCTGAACCTTTTAAATCTTGTACTTGTGCAGGTGTAACATATTCACACAATAAAATTCAAAACAGCGACACCTGGGAGGCTCAGTGGTTGAGCATCTGCCTTCGGCTAGGGCATGACCCCGAGGTCCTGGGATCGAGTCCCACTTCGGGCTCCCCGTAGGGAGCCTGCTTCTCCCTCTGCCTTTGTCTCTGCCTCTCTCTCTCTCCGTTTCTCATGAATAAATAAATAAAATCTTAAAAAATAAAGTAAAATAAAATTCAAAAAAAGGAAGCAGTAGGATGCGCTTAGTACTTGATTATTATTTCCCTTTCACGGGCCAGGGAAGACAAATAGATTTCAACTCGGAGGCCAATTTTATTTTTAACCCTCATGAATAATTTGATTTGCTATGGATCGAGTAATAATAACACCAGTATAAATTAGGATCTCTAATAGACATTGATTAAATAAAATATATGAAAGTACAAATGACATCAAGTTTTGTATTGCTTTAAAATATTGAAAACTCGGCATCAGATTCTTATCAAAACGATGACTATCTGGACATTGTTTTATGGGTTGTAGTGATAGGAGCAGCTATATTGATTTCCAGTTCTGACCAGATAAAATTCATTATAATGAAAAGACACTCCCAATAATAAGTTCATAACAAAATCATTAAAATATATTAAACTACAAAATATATTAAGCTTTAATTGCTACACAGGTCAGCAGTGAAACATCAGGATGTTCATGAAGAAAAATAGGAATCACATATCCTGAAGATACTCAGCCACTGTTCCGTCACGCTTGGCTGGGCTTCGAGTCTGGTCTTTAATGGTAATTCCGGTCAACCGCAGTTTGTGATTGCCTATGCGGATTTTCTCTATGTTCAAAAGAGCCTTAACAGTTTTTAGATTAGTTAGTAAAACGAACTAATTCAATCAAGAAAGCATAGGTCTGATCTAACACTCCCTTGCTTATTGTTTAGCCAAAGCAAATACAAAACGCCTCATCTGGATATCCAGAGCTTTCTGTGGTATCAAGAAACAACCTGACATGGTTTTAATGGGCTCAAGGCCCTGACCTGCCCTCAGGCCTGGCCAGAGACTGCCTGAAAACCCATTCCCCTTGGGATCCTGAGTGCTCTTTACAGCCCCTTCAGCCCTCCTGAGCTCTTCCAATTGGTACCCCACCCTCTCCTGTACTCTCTCTCCCACCTTCCCTCGTGGACTGCCCTCGTGTCCTTCCCATTGTTTCCATTGTTGGAAAACATCATTCCATCTTCACCTCTCCATGTTCCCTATACCTCCCCTCCATCATCTGCTCCGCCTGGAAATATTTCAACCCGTAAGACCCGGTCAGTCTAACACGTTTATTGTGTGCCATGAAAACATTCCAGGCACTGTTTTCAGCACTTGAGATGCGTAAGTGAACAAGACCGAGGCCCTGCCTTAAGGAGGTTCTTCTACACTAGGAGGAAGAGACAGGGAGGATAAGTAAGTCATGTTCTTGTTCTGTTAACTCTAGGAAGATGGGAAGATTAGGTAAAGTTATAAAGGGCAACAGGGAGGGGATGTTGCATTAGACCAGCGCTGTCCAATAGCACTTTCTGTCTATGGAAATCTTCTATATCTGTGCTGTCCAATATGATAGCCACCAGCCACGTGTGGCTATGGAGCACTTGAGATATGGCTAGCATGACTGAGAAACTGAATTTGTAATTTAATTTTAATCTCCACCCTTGACTAGTAGCTACTGGATGGAATTAGATGAGAGGGTTAGAGTTGAGTCAGGGGCGGTCTTTTTTTTCTTTCTTTCTTTCTTTCTTTCTTTCTTTCTTTCTTTCTTTCTAAGATTTTATTTATTTATTCATGAAAGACACAGAGAGAGAGGCAGAGACATAGGCAGAGGGAGAAGCAGGCTCCCTGTAGGGAGCCCGATGTGGGACTTGATCCCAGGACTGTGGGATCACAGGCGCTAAACTGCTGAGCCATCCAGGTATCCCATGGGGCAGCCTTTCTGAGGATAGACGTTTTTTTTTTTTTTTATGATAGTCACAGAGAGAGAGAGAGAGAGAGAGAGAGAGAGAGAGGCAGAGACACAGGCAGAGGGAGAAGCAGGCTCCATACACCGGGAGCCCGACGTGGGATTCGATCCCGGGTCTCCAGGATCGCGCCCTGGGCCAAAGGCAGGCGCCAAACCGCTGCGCCACCCAGGGATCCCCCGAGGATAGACCTTTTATTGAGAATGTGACTAATGAAGATCTCGGGGAAGCGCATCTAAACAGAAGGGAGAGCAAGTTCAAAGGCCCTGAGATGGAAAAAGCACGATGTGTTCCTTGGACAGAGCGGAAACCAGTGTGGGTGAAGCCTGCCTAGGCAGGAGTGATGCAGTTGACAAGCAGTGCAGCACGGGCACTAACCAACCAGAACAGATGCCAGTCATAACCAGACTGCTACCTACCCGCTGACTTAGCTCCATACCTAGTGAGCAGTTGGTTCTAAGAGTAAAGAAAACATCTCAGGCATCCTAAGGTGAGCGGTAACATGACCTGATGTGTATCTGGAAGATGAACAGTATGGGGCAAGTGTGGAGGTAGGACAGCAGTCAGGACATGACTGTAGAAATCTAGGTAGAGGGATCCCTGGGTGGCGCAGCGGTTTAGTTCCTGTGTCCAATTAGAACGTAAATCCTGAGAGTATTAGCTGCCGGGTACTGAGCCCTTACTATGTGTCAGACTCTGTGATAACTACTTTTTCATTATCTGATTTAACGCTGGTCCATTGAATAGATGCGATTATTACCCCTAGTTTACCAAAGAGAAAACTAATTGCACAGAATGGTTGTGTAACTAGCCCCTAAACCCAGAGCCAAGAAGTGGCCCAGCTGGAGCATGAGCTGAGACAGTCTCACATCAGCATGCCAAGCTGCCAGCTTATGGATTCTTACTGGTTCGCATTGTCACTTGTTTGCACACAACAGATGCTTCTTTTTTTTTTTTTTTAAGTTTGAGGGTTTTTTTTTTTAAGATTTTATTTATTTATTCATAGAGATGCAGAGAGAGAGAGAAAGAGAGAGAGGGGCAGAGACACAGGCAGAGGGAGAAGCAGGCTCCATGCAGAGAGCCTGACGTGGGACTCGATCCAGGGTCTCCAGATCACGCTCTGGGCTGCAGGCAGCGCTAAACCGCTGCGCCACCGGGGCTGCCCAACAGATGCTTCTTTTGGAGGATATTACGAATATAATCTTGTAGAATTTTCGAGTTTGAAGGGATCTTCAAATTTATCTCATTTTACAGATGAGGAAGCTAAGAGCCAATCAAACTGATTAACTGCTACAACCTGTAGGAGATTTAATCAGACCCTGATCTCCACACAAAGTATACAAACCAGTGGTACCCGTCAAGCTCAGCTGGTAAAGCATGTGACTCTTGATCTCCGGGTTTTGAGCTTGAGGCCCAAGTTGGGTATAGATATAGAGATTGCTTAAAAAAAAAAAAAAGTACGTAAACCAGGGAGTAGAAATAAGCACAATGTGGTGTTTGCAGTCACCTAGAAGACTTTCAAACTCTAGTGCCAACCAGATCCACCTGCTGTGGCCCCTTCCCACCAACCTGTCCAGCACATGGCCTGCAGCTTGGGCTGCAGAGCCAGAAACACAAGGGTTGAACCTTCAGCTCTGCCCCTTACGAACTAGCTGCCCTTAAGAAAGTATCTCAACCTCTGAGCTGCCAATTCTTCATCTGTAAAATGGAGGTTCTGATAGGCCTCACAGCTGTATGGGAAATCAGCAGGGAACCTAGGAATGGGGTGGAATTTGGAGTTAGCCTTGGTTTTGAATCCAGGCCCCGTCTCTTACTGTTCTCTCTGGGCAAGTCACCTCACTGTGGGAGCCTTGGCTTCCTCATCTTTAAAAGAGGAGTAATAATTCACATTGACGTGGATGGAACTGGAGGATGTTATGTTAAGTGCAATAAGTCAATTGGAGAAAGACAATCATCATATGGTTTCACTTGTATGTGGAATATAAGAAATAGTGAAAGGGAAGGAGGGGAAACTGAGTGGGGAAGAATTAGAGAGGGAGACAAACCATGAGAGACTCCTGACCCTGGGAAACACAATAAGGGGTGCGGAAAGGGAGGTGGGCAGGGGGATGGGGTCACTGGGTGATGGGCACTGAGGAGGACACTTGATGGGAAAAGCACTGGGTGTTATTCTCTATGTTGGCAAATTGAACTTAAATGTTAGAAATTGTTTTAATTTAAATAAATAGATGGATAGAGATAGATAGATAGATAGATAGATAGATAGATAGATAGATAGATAGAAGTAAATGGGGGTAATACAGTTCACCTGGAAGACTTGCTTCTTCAAAAGAAGGTATGTTTGTGAAAACATTGTAGCTCTGCTGGGCTAGTTATGCTGAGTCTTTCATTTTTTTTAAAGATTTTATTTATTTATTTATTTATTTATTTATTTATTTATCTATTTATTTATGAGAGACACACAGGCAGAGACACAGGCAGAGGGAGAAGCAGGCTCCATGCAGGGAGCCCGATGTGGGGACTCGATCCCAGGACCCCAGGGTCACACCCTGATCCAAAGGCAGATGCTCAACCATTGAGCCACCCAGGTGTCCCTTTCTCTCTCATTATGATAGACTTACTAGGTAGTATCCCGAAGCCATTACACATTTTCCATCCTCAGAGTGCTTGTGTCTAGGAAAATATACCCCCAAAAAATAACAATAAGTATATATATTTTTTCCAGGTATCCATATTTCTAAAGGACAGAGTTCAGAATTCTAATGGTCGCTTTGTGTTGCCGGTGTCCGGGCCTGTTCCCTGGGGTACTGAAGTTCCTGGACTCATCAGGTGAATTCTCAACTGTAATTGTCAGACCAGCATTCGGGGGTGCCAGGAAACCACCATGTGGGCCACCAGAGAGAATGTGGCACTGCTGGGTGCCCCCCCTTCCTTCAGTAAAGCACAGCAGTTAGAAGGCCAGGTTCTCGTCCCAGCTGTGCCGCTTAGCAGACACTTGAGGCCAACCACCCAGTTCTTCAGGATTCACTTCCTCATCTATTAAATGACTGCTGTGAGGATGAATAAGATACTAATGCTCGGAAGTGCTCATTCAGCGCCTGGCACATAACATGTAGTTAGTAATTATTATTATTATTATTATTATTGCCTCAACCAGCATCTTTACCTTGAAGGAGTGCACGGATTCCTTTTTGTCCCCTAGTACAAAGAATAAAGAAGCCTCCGGGACTCCCCCGAGTTTGGAGAACGTCCCATCATGTTATATTTGTATTCTAGGATGTTCAACAACAAAGGCAAAGAAGTGAAGAGGGTGGAATTCAAGCACGGTGGACACTATGTCACTGCCCCCAAAGAAGGTTCTTTTGAGCTTTGTGGAGACCGAGTCCTGAAACTGGGAACCAATATGTAAGCAAATACTCCCTCTCTGAATGAATTCAAGTCCAAGGGCGGTCACTTCATTTAAAAAAACCAGCTTGACGTCCTCCTCTACGGAAACCTCTACAGACAAGGGGAATCACTTCCCCTCAGGTAGAAGGCATGCAGAGCCCTGACATTTTCTTTTCTTTTTTTTTTTTTAAGATTTTATTTATTTATTCATGAGACACACACAGAGAGAGAGAGAGAGAGAGAGAGAGAGGACAGGCAGAGGGAGAAGCAGGCTCCATGCAGGGAGCCCAACACAGGACTCAATCCCCGGTCCCCAGGATCAGGCCCTGGGCTGAAGGTGGCGCTAAACCGCTGAGCCACCCGGGCTTCTAGTGAGCCCTGACATTTTCAAAGGGCCCCCAAGATTTCCAAACATAAGGCAACTCACCAGGCTGAAAAGATAAATCATTTTAACTAACCATGGAGGAGAACTAGCCGAAAGCTCTGTCGCGGTGGAGACACAGGAAGGCGTGGCCTTCACGCATCGCTCACAGTTTCTTCAGTAACTACTTTGTGAGAAGAGCCTTTGCCACACAGCTTCACAGGTATTTTTCTTTGGGAAAATGTGAAATCTGAATGCTGACACTCAGTTAAATTTTGTACTCCCAGCACATTTCTGGATGCTTTTTAACGTCTCAAAATAAAAGGTGCTGTAGTTGTGAGTTAGAGGAAGTCTGTGTGTAAAAAGGCTAGACAGTGTTTTCTTTTTTTTTTTTAATGTTTCTACTACTGATTTTTTCTTTTTTGGGATTTTATTTTATTTTTAAAGATTTTATTTATTTATTCATGAGAGAGAGAAAGAGAGGCAGAGACACAGGCAGAGGGAGAAACAGGCCCCATGCAGGGAGCCCGACTCCAGACTCGATCCCAGGACCCCAGGATCACGCCCTGGACCGAAGGCAGGCACTAAACCGCTGAGCCACCCAGGGATCCCCTAGATGGTGTTTTCACAATTTTCCATTGATACCAGGTACAGCATTAACCGGCCCGTGGAAACGCATATGTCTGGAGCATCAAAAAACTTGGCTTCACGGACACAGGTGAGCCTCTGCCTCCCTTCTGCATCTTCAGAGCTTATTTCTAGACACAGAAATCTAGATGGAGAGGAGGGTGGAAACTCTAGACTTCAAAGCCAGCCAGCGCTTCCCTCATTGTTTGCAATTTTCTCGGTTCGGCCTTACAAGTACAAAGGTTTTTAATTGTAGTTTCTCATGAAGACTTGCAGCGATCTGACTAATTAGGTAATTTTGGGCTTGGCTCAACCACCATAATTAAGCTGGAACCTCACACCAGGACACGTGAAACAGCGCTGCGCCAGCGCCACTTAGGCCTGCGGTTGCTGAGTCTAGGACTCCTGTGCATTGTGATGCTTACAGCATCCCTTAACACTGCTACCCGAACAACGATGTGCTAGCTAAGGTCACAAGGGGGGTTTAGATTCTCTGAATTCCATCTTTTATTTATTTATTTATTTATTTATTTATTTATTTATTTATTTATTTATTTATGATAGACATAGAGAGAGAAAAAGAGGCAGAGACACAGGCAGAGGCAGAGGGAGAAGCAGGCTCCATGTAGGGAGCCCAACGTGGGACTCGATCCCGGGACTCCAGGATCACGCCCTGGGCCAAAGGCAGGCACTAAACCGCTGAGCCACCAGGGGATCCCTATTTTTTGAATTCCATCTTTTAAATTCGCACAGAATTAGCGGCAGCTAGCTATAGGACAGACCAGGAAATATTCAGTGATTTGGCACACATTGATCGAACTACTTCTATGGGCTGGGAACCCAGGGACACAAAGCTTGGCTTACAAGGAGAGGTGGGCACGCAGACCCAAGCGTCAGTAGAAGCAAAAAGCACCAAGGGATGGAAGAGTGTGGTGGCATTTGGGGGAAGCAGGGAGGCAGCTTCTCTCCACACCACTAGACCGTAGTCACTGAGGCCCAGTGGCCAGATTTGCCCACACCAGGCCCCTGGGGCCTGATTCCAAAAAAGCTTAAGCAATTTAGACTTCGCGATGTAGGCAAGTGTCAGAGGGCTTTTATCCCAAGCGAGGAAGGAGGGAGAGGACTCTACTTTAGATAACTGGTGGCAGAGTGACCGACCAAGGCGGCAGGAGGGGAGGGCAGGGGGCGGCTGGGTTGGAGGTGGGGTCCAGGGGAGGAGTGGAGGCTGAGTGGAGCCAGACCCCTGGGAGGCAGGTTCCCCGGTGTGTTTGCCACAGGCACCACCTGAGGGCAGTGTGGTAGCTCCTGTGGAAGCTGTGCCCCTGGCCCTGGGGCATTTGCTGAGGCTACTTGCAGTGGCCTGGGGACCTAGACTCCTGGAAGAGGAAGCAGTGTTCCCCTCCAAGGAGGAAGCTCTCCTGAGAACGGGGATGCCTGGGGCCCTCCACTCATCCTGAAAGTGTGAGAATCTCGGGTTTGCTAAGAGCCCTTCTGCTTCTGATTGTGGATGGTTTCTGTTTGAGTTAAGCCTGTTTTCTAATACTTTATCTGGACACAGTCCTGCCCAGGATAACTTAAACGGTTGTTGTTTTTGCCTTGTTCTGTAATGCCACCCTGGGGCTCTGGGGTCTCAGCAGGAAATGTGATCACCTGCACCTGGCTAAAAATCCTGAAATTGTTTCCGCAGGAAAGCATTGTTCCAAACCCTCTTGCTAAAGAAGAGCTGAATCTCTTGGCCAGGCTGATGGGAGGGATGGAGATTAAGAAAGCCAGTGGCCCCGAGCCAGGATTCCGGTTGAATCTCTTCACCACTGATGAAGAGGAGGAGTACGTTTTAAACCTGTTTCTTACGACGCATATGTAAAAATCCTAACCGTAAAAAGAACCCAAAAATGGCCATGATAAGCCAGTAACACTTATATAGATGTAAAGGTCACAGAGGAAAACCCAGCAAATTCAATGACCTAGTTAAAGAGGAATCCACCAGTATTAAATGGCCTGAACCTTCTGGGTTCATTCAAGAGATAGTTCTAGGGTTTTACTTTAGCAAAGCAGAGCTGAACAAAGAAGTATTAGAAGTCAAGATAATCATAGTGAGAAAAGTCTGTTAAGAAACCAGAGGGAAGCCAGAGCATGATGACTTTGGGATAAACCAGTTTCCCCCAAAATCAACGGGGAGAGTAATCCACCCCGATTTGTCCAGAGCCTGATGGTTCGTAGAGCACTTTTACACCATGGTCTCCTGTGATCCTCCTTGCAACCAAATATTTGTAGCGAGGGCCGCCTTCTGCTTCCATATCCATGGAACTAACTTCTTTTGTGCACTTCTGTGCGACAGGTGCCATGGTAAGTGCTGGGGACACAGAGATGGAGGGTAAGACCTACAGCCTGTGCCCAGGAGCTCACAGGGTAGGAGGCAGGGAACGCACATGGACACAAGTCCCTTCAGTTCCGGGTCCTAAACGCTCCGACACAGGACGCGGGGATTGACTTTGCACCAGCAGATGGAGGCAGCTGGCATCCGGGCTTGGTCTCGGAGGCTGCCAAGGAGAGGAAGGGGGAAAAACAGTCTTGGCCAAGTGCAGTTACATGCAAAGGTGCAGAGATGTAGAAGGACTTGACTTTCTGGAGCATAGGGTGCGCTGCTTGGGGAGAGAACAGAAAGCTGAAGGGAAGGGGCAGGAGGCGAGGCACAAAAAGTAGGCTGCCAAGTTGTTGGATGTGCCAGCTTGCCACGCTGGCAGGGAGACAGCCCTGACCTTTGACCCGTTTCTCTACCGCCTCCTGCAGACAAGCGGCGCTCACCAGGCCGGAGGAGCTATCCTACGAGGTGATCAACATACAGGCTACTCAGGTGGGTGCGGGTGGGTGACCCCACAAGCCACGTGTCGGTCCCCTCCTCATCTGCTAACTTTGAACTCCCCAGGCCCCCCTTCTCTCTAATCAGCCCGTACCCAGAGCCCCTGCTCTAACACGCGGCACCGCGGGGGACAAACCTTCGACACCCCCTGCGTGGAGAAGCAGCTGTGCCCACCCATCCCCTTCACTGCCTTGCCCTCTCGTTTCTCCACCAGGACCAGCAAAGGCACGAGGAGCTGGCTCGCATCATGGGGGAGTTTGAGGTCACCGAGCAGCCGAGGCCGAGCACCAGCAAGGGAGATGACTTGCTGGCCATGATGGATGAGTTATAGCTGTGCCGGCCAAGCACCCCCACCCTGCGGCCCCTGTGGGGTGGGCCGCCCCATAAGGACCCCGGGGATGCCCCAGGCAGCAAACCGAGGCTGCTGCTAGTTTTCTACTGAGTGAGTGGTTACCTCCCATTCCTGTTTGTGTTGTAAAGAACCACGTGAGGCTCCTTCCAGTCTGGAAGGTGAACACATATACGTTTTCAGCTTTTCAATTGGACCTTCTCCATTTTCTTCTGGCTTTACGGCAACCATCCAAGGCCTCCCGGGCCACAGGTTCAAGCCCCAGAGTCACTAAGGGGGTGCCCTCATTGCTGCTTTCACCTGTAGCTTTCCCGTGGACTCATGTAGCCCACAGCCCGTCTGTGAATCATCATGATACTTCAGAGCTTCCTGGGATGTACGCGGCCCTGTGAGTGAGTTTGAAACAGGTGGGAAAGGTGGTCGGGGCCCAGTTCAGACAGTCCTCCTTGGCCTGGCACCCTGGAAATTGTAACCGCAGGGGCGGAGCAAGCAAGGCCGTGACAGGGAACACGCAGCTGGGCTCCACGCAGAGCAAGTGGGGCTCTGGCGTCCTCTGCACCTCTGGCTGGTTCCATATGTGGTGTGGGCTTATCCCACATGGAAACGTGTACCGAGGAAATAGTTTGCTTGATACAGACTCCTCACCCCCAGAGTCTTCCTCTGCCACTTAGAGTTCCTGCCTCTAGAGACCCTCCTCCATCTCTACTTCATCCTCAGTGGCGGGAGGGGGATACGTAGGCGGCACGCGTGGTGTGCCACTTACTTTCCCTTCCACGAACCAGAGGAGGTACTTCCCTTGGCAGGGTGCCACGTCTAATTAATATCCACGTAAAATATCTCAGGCCAGGGCTGTCCTAATTACTTCAGGAAGGAGCATTAGCCCCCCACCACGTGCTCACCATGGACTGAGTAACTGGCAGGCTCAGAGCCGGCCAACGTCTAGAGGCCAAGGTCCACCGAGTCCCACGGAAGGAATACCCCGAGTGGCAGAAGGCACGAGAGAAACGGAGCTGAGCTGGCCATTGCCCGAGATTGAGCCAACCCCAGCGACCACTGTGGCCCCTCACACGGCGGCAAGAGTGGTGGCAGACATGGTTCTGGAAGGCGAGGGCCAAGGAAGCCGTCCTTAGCCTGCCCGAGTCAGGGCATTTGGATGCGGAAAGAGAAATGAGCAGATGAACTTATGTTGCTTCCTACCAAGGAAAGTCACTTGTCATTTCCTCACCCGCAGAAACCCCCAGAGGGTCTCTTGGAGAGGAGAGGCCCGTGGCGCGGTGTGCTCCTCTCACAGCTTACAAAGGGCCCTCTGTCTTGGTCTCCTGTGAGCAATCTGGCCACCAGCTGGGGTGGTCTGAAAGGGTGACAGATGAAGGGAAAGGCTCAGTCCTGTGCTAAGTCAGCTCCCACCGCGCCACTGCAAACCCAGACCTCACGGCCTGCTCCGAGCCCGTCCTAGGGCCCTGGACGTGGGCCTCCAGCTGCCGAGAAGCAGCCTCCTCCCTTCGCCTATCCCAGAGCCCTGCGGATGATTTCAAACATGTCTCGGTTCCCTCCGTAAACAAACAAGATACAGATCTCCCGTAGGGCCGCCTTGTGATGAAGCAACCTTTGACTTTCATGTCTCTAGACTTGCACACATTGAGAAAAACAAGCGTACCTGCCCAGTGGTTGAGGGCACGCAGAGAGAGCAGGGGAGGCAGGAGGAGGCAAGGAAAACAGAAGACGGGGGTGGCTCTGCCAAGAACGTGGGCTGGGGACGAAGGCCGCGTCAGTGTCAGAGTCAGGCCCCTGGGCCCAGGCCCCACGGCCTCGAGGAGAGTCACTCTCCCCAAGCCTCAGTTCCCTCGTCTGGAAGAACGACAACTAGTTCACGGGCTCAGAGCCGACTCACCCGGATACGACACTGAGTTTGCAGGCCCTGCCCCAGTGGGGGCTGAGAACTGGGATTTATACCCATGCCACCACCACCCCACTCCATGCTTTGGGGGTACATCGGCTGTCTTCCAGCTCTCCTGGGACTGACTGACGTCTTCTCCGCGGAGTTTCAAAACGTTCCACTGTGTTCATAAAGTGTCGGCGTGCCCTACAGATTATGGGAGGCAAAGTTCTAGAAAAGTCTTCTGGATGGAAAAAAAAAAAGTCTTCTGGATGGAAGTTCTTTAGTGGCTCCCAGACGAAAGGTATAAAAAGTGAGAGTGGAGGAGAAAAAGAAAAGGGGGGGGGAAGTGTATTTAGCCCTCAGTTTTAAGAGGAAAGCCACCCCCACCCTCGTCCACATAGGTATCTAGCGATTCTTAAAGGTGAACTCACTTTCCGCCCCCGCCCCAGTGCGGTAACCAGGTCCTGGAGATCCCCAGGTCTAAACAGGGTCACACTCCCTCATCCACCTATACTGGCTTATCCCTGGCTTATCCAGAACAGAGGCCAGCTGAAGCCACGGGAAACCACAGAAAGAGAAGTGCAAACTTCAGAAAACATACTGATTTGCCATAGTACCTCATCCTAAAGACCCGAGTTAAGATCTGAAAACTCCTACACCCTCTACTTCACCTTCACTCCCTTTGTGTTGAGCCTTGGGTAACAAGGCCTTGGCTCTTCAGGCCAGGTTCCTGGACAGCTGGCGGTAGAGGGGGTTAGAGGAGGTGTTGGGGGCAGGTTGCATTAAGGAAACCCCATCACAGTTGGATCCTCCCCTCATAGCTTTGTGACTGGGTGTGAAGCAAGTTCTCAGATCCGAACTCCCCCTTTTCAAATGTGAATGTCAAAATCCTTGGAATCCAGCGCCAATGGAAATTACTCTGGATGATTTGATCAACAACCCCATCCAGTACTCGCGCACACACACACGCACACACGCACTACCAGCAGTGCCTCTGCTGACACAAACAGCATTACCTCCTTTGTCAGTTCCCCAAATTCCACAAAACCCCAACTGCATCAGTCACGAGGAAGCCACAACGCCAGCACAGACCCAGGACTCCTAAATCCTAGAGGCCCACGTTAGCCTCTGATCACTCTGCCCTCGGTTGTCTTTATAAAGCTCTCTAACTTCCTTTTGAAGCGTTGGGGCCATTGTTTTCTCGGGTCTTCAAGGGGGAGCCATGGTGTCAGCCAAGGACCCCCCGACCTGCAGCGGGTGGTCGTCCTAGATGTCCTGTCCTTTTTTTTTTTTTCTTTTTTTAAAGATTTTTATTTATTCACGCGAGACACAGAGAGAGAGAGAGAGAGAGGCAGAGACACAGGCAGAGGGAGAAACAGGCTCCATGCAGGGAGCCCGACGTGGGACTCGATCCCGGGTCTCCCAGGATCATGCCCTGGGCCGAAGGCGGCACCAAACCGCTGAGCCACCTGGGCTGCCCCTAGATGTCCTGTCCTGAAGACCTACCTCTCAGCTTCAGGTACAGCTTCTTCGTGTGCTTGCCCTCATCCCCTGCCCACTTCAGCACACCTCTTACCTGTACCCTTCCTCCCCTCTGTCACACCTTCCTTCTGCACCTGAGACTTGAATCCCAACCTGCGGAGGACGAACTCCCAGCCCACCCACTCCCGCCACAGCTGGGGCCTCCACTTCTGCAGGCCGTCCTTGCTCCTCTCCGTCGGCTCCCTGGCCGCCTGCCCCCAGCCCCTCCTCCAGCTCTGGTCACTAGAGTCACTACGCAGGCCCCTGCTGCCTTCTCTGTGGGCTGTGCGGGCTGTGCGACTCGGCCCCACGCAAAGGCCTGCTCTCCTCCCCAGGCCCCTGGGCCTTTGGAAGGCTCCTGGACCGGCCTAAGTCCATTTTCTGCCTAAAACTCTCTCCCCTGTGACCACAGTGGTTCCCCTCCTCCCTTCTGACCACGCCTCCCCTCCCTGCCTCAGTGGCTCCTGACTGAGGAGCGCCCTGCATGGTGCAGATGGTGCTGTAGCCAGTTTTAGAAGTCTTGTCAAGGGGCGGCCTGGGTGGCTCAGTCTGTTGGGCGTCTGCCTGCGGCTCGGGTCACGACCCCAGGGCCCTGGGTTGGAGCCCCAGGGCAGGCTCCACACTCAGCAGGGAGTCTGCTCCCCCTCTCCCTTCACCCCCATCCCGTGCTCACTCTCTCTCAATCTCTCTCTCTCAAGTAAATAAAATCTTTTTAAAAATGGCCAGTCAGTTGCCAGCTGGTCCCTATTTTGCCCCTGGCTTCTCTCCCCACAGACCACAGGCCCTCATGTGCCCTGCAGCACCCAGAAGTGTTGGCATCACTTTCTTCCCAACAGACTGTTCTTTTCAACTATTACTATGGCCCCTCCTCACCGGGACTGCAGGCTCAGTTTCCTTGCGATCGCCCGCATCACCTCATTACTCCATATCCAACACCCACAACATTTTTACTTATTTGGTACATTTTCTTCGCTTTCAAAAGGCTAAGCTTTTTTTTTTTTTAAGATTTTATTTATTCATGAGAGACACAGAGAGGCAGAGACACAGGCAGAGGGAGAAGCAGGGAGCCCGACGTGGGACTCGATCCCGGGTCTCCAGGATCACTAAACCACTGGGCCACCCGAGCTCCCCTAACTTCTAAAATTAAATATAACACAGGGGCACCTGGGTGGCTCAGTCAGTTAACATCTGACTTCTGGTTTCAGCTCCGGTCGGGATCTCAGGGTCAGGACATGGAGCCCTGAGTGGGGCTCCGTGCTCAGCAAGGAGGCTGCCTCCCCTCTCCCTCTGCCCCCCACCCAGCTTGAGCATGCTCTCTCTCCGTCTCTCTAACATAAAGAAATCTTTAAATATAATGCAGACTGTGACAGTTTTCCATAGAAAGGAACTAGAAGCAGTGGGTAAGAGTCACCAAAAACATGCTAACGATGGAGTCAAATGCCTGGGAGCAAGTGACTGGAGCGGGGCTTGGGCCCTGGGTGCTAAGTTGGAGCAAATGACCTGGGAATTACCCTCTCGGGATTCTGTGATCCTCTGACGATTGGAAACTGAGTCATAACCGCTCATCTAAAGCGACCAGGAAAATGCCAGGCTCCTGAAATCAACACAGTTCAAGTGGGCCCAGTACTAGGTGAGGTTTTTGGTTGAAAAAAAAAAAAAAAAGAAAGAAAGAAACCAATTCTGGCTACTTAACTAGAGAAAATCTACTTAAAAGGGCTTCAGGCAATTCACAGTTGTCAGGAAGACAGGAAATGTGGGAGAACAGCCAGGAGCCAAGGGAGGCTGACAGCACCACAGAGGACTCCAGCCCCAGCAGCAGCCCCAGCCATGAGGCCTCAGCGGTACAGACACCAGGATGGAGCCTAAACAGTCCCTGCTGGTTTGTGTCACTTGCTCCAGATTTAGGGCCTGAGTTTAGGTCACAAGCCCACAGCCATAGCTGACATGGATCAGAGATCATATCTGGCCCTTAAATCATCCAAAGCAGAACTCCCACTTCCCACCGAAATGCATAAAATGTCAGACTTACCCAAATGTGGCTGAGTAGCCAAAAAAATGAGATATCCCCCACAGGGTCATTCCACTATCTCTCTAGATACCCAGAGTTAAAAAAATTTAAATCACTGAGGGGCCTGGCTGGCTCAGTCAAAAGAGCATGCAACTCTTGATCTGGGGGTTGTAAGTTCGAGCCCCACGCTGGGTATAGACGTTACTAAAAAAAATGAACTTAAAAAAATTCTTGGGGCATCTGAGTGGCTGGGATCGAGGGGCTTTCTGCTCAGCCGGGTGCCTGCTTCTCCCTCTCTCTGCCCTCTCTTTCTCTCTCTCTCTCTCTCAGATAAGTAAAATCTTTTTTAAAAAACTATTTTAGGTATGTCTGGGTGGCTCAATCAGTTAAGCATCTAACTCCTGATTTCATCTCAAGTCATGATCTCAGTGGGGAATCTGCTTGAGGTTTTTCTCTCTTCCTCTCCATCTGCCCCTGCCCTCGAGCGTGTACACTCTTTCTCTCGAATAAATAAATCAATCTATCCATTTATTTGAGAGAGAGAGAGAGAGCACAAGCAGGGGTAGCAACAGAGGGAAAAGGGAGAAGCAGACTCCCCACTGAGCAGGGAGCCTGGACCCCAGGATCATGACCTGAGCCGAAGGCAGACACTCAACCGACTGAGTCACCCAGCTGCCCCAGTAAATAAACCTTAAAAAAAAAAAAAATGTTAGTAATTGATTCCTCCTCCTCCCATTCCAACTCGAGATCTAATCAGTCTTCAGGGAGTCTGATTAGCTTGTTTCCTTCTTTTAATATTCAGCCCTTCTTTCCCTTCCTACTGCCACCATCTTCATTCAGATCCCTGTCACCGGATGCTGAATCTGCAGAGGACAAGCAAAAATTACAGTGAGCAGTATGTTATGGGGTTAAGGGAGAGACATCCCTCCCAAATGGGATAATCAGTGAAGACTTCAGAAAGGTATGGCAATTGAGGCAGGCTTTGACAGAGGGATTGGACTTAACATCCAAAGATAAACAAGAGAGGATCCAAGCCTTTGCAGCAAGACAGCAAAGGCAGAGGCAAGAGTGCGGGACTTGTCTGAGTTTTTGAGCAGGTAGGTCTAACTAGAGAGGAGGGCACTGGATCTCAAAATTGAGCGTTCATGATTGGATGTGCGGATTTCTGAGCTCCACTTTTGATTCTGTGAAACAGCCTTTCGTTAAAGCAACTCGTTCCCATGCCATGATTTAAGAAACGCTGGTTGGAAGAGTAGAGAACCTGAAAGAGATCCAGCTGGAACGTGAGTTGGAATCAGATCAATGTCAGCACTGGAACCTTTATTCTACTAGTGAATCAAAAGTTTTCTTAGCAGGTAAATAATATCATAACTATACTTTGTTGGCAAAGGATCGTGAGACACAAAGACCAGTAATATGGTTTTTATAATGAATCAACTGAGAGAAAGAAGGTCTCAACTGGGTTGGCGGCAGTCAGAAAGAAAAGGCAAGTGAAGGGTGGGAGACCCTTCTTCCAAGAATTTGCAGGGCTCCGTGACTGATGGGTGTAGGGAATCAAGAAACAATCAGGTTTATTCAAGATGCCCTATTTGAGTAGCTGAAAAATGGTAGCAACTACAGAATGGGAAAATTTAGAGCAACGACAAATTTGGGAAGGACCTAATCTGCCTCGTAGACATGCTGACTTTCAAGCACCAAGACGTGTGGGAATAAGCAACAGAGAGTTGGAAAACAGAGTTCCATAGATCAGTCTGGGCTGGTAAGTTAGACACGGAGCTCAGTACGTAGTAGCAGGCAGTGGAGATTTGACCAAGTAGAGCTCAAGGTCCAGAACAGAACCCCAGAGAAGGCACGCATGTTAGGGAGGAGAATGAAATGGGGCTGAGAGAGAGAAAGAGGGAGGGAGATGACGACACAATCAGAAATCTGTGAAGCCAAATGATATAATGCCCCAGGGGGAAAAAAACTACCAAGGAGGAAAATGGTCAATATAGTCAAGCACTAAGAAGGATAATGAAGGACTGAGGGGAGAGAGAGGTTCTCCTTATGAGCAAGGACCATCAGTTACCCCTGCCAGAGAAGTTAGTGGGGTGTTGGGAGCAGAAGCCAGATTATAGTGAGGTGAGTAGATGAGAGCCCTCAGGATAGACTAACAGTTCTCAAACTTTCTGATCTCAGAAATCCTTTATACTCTTGAAAATTACAGAAAAACCCAAAAAGCATTTGTTATGATATATATCCCACACATGCATTAAGTTGGAATAAAATTTTAATATTAATTCATTTTTAAATGATAACAATAGGGGCCCCTGGATGGCTTAATCAGTTAAGTATCTGCCTTCGGCTCAAGTCATGATCTCAGGGTCCTGGGATCCAGCCCCACATTGGGCTCCCTGCTCAGTGGGGAATCTCCTTCTCCCTGTGTCCCTCTACCCCCACATGCTCTCTCAAATAAAATCCTGAAAAAGTAAAATAAAATAAAATAAAATGACAATAATAGACCCATTAACATATTTTTATATAAAAATATTTTTTCCAGGGCAGCCTGGGTAGCTCAGCAGTTTAGCGCCGCCTTCAGCCCAGAGCATGGTCCTGGAGACCCAGGATCGAGTCCCGCATCAGGCTCCCTGCATGGAGCCTGCTTTCCCCTCTGCCTGTGTCTCTGCCTCTCTCTGTCTCTTATGAATAAATAAATAAAATCTTTTATTTTTTTAATAAAATCTTTCAAAAATACTTTTTTTCCAAAAGAAAAAATTTGATGAGAAGAGTGACACTGTTTAATGTTTTTGCAAATCTCTGTAATGCCTGTCATAATGGAAGTCAGCCAGATTCTCATATCTGCTTCTGCATTCAGCCCTTGTGACCTGCTGTTTTGGTTGAAGTAAAAGAAAACCCAGCCTCGCACAGATATGAAGTCGGAAAAAGGAGAACCACAAGGGTAGCGGCCTCCTGGAGAAGCTACAAGGGCAGCTTGCAGGGAGGACAGAGGCAGTTACTATTTGTAGGATGCGAAGAGACCAACTATGATCCTCTGGAAAAGGGAAAGGCTCCTGGTGTAACTGGAAATCAATGAAGGAGAGAGTGAAGGAATGAAACAAGCCTTCCTCTTTGTGGAGCCAGGTGCTTTCATATAGGAATGAAGGTCAATTCTCTGAGACAGACGTTACCTTTAAAAAAAAAAAAGAAAAAAACGAAAACAGGAAATTGAGGTTTTTACCAAGGCTGTAGAGTGACCTTTGAAAAATGGAAATCGGGGATGCTGGGGTGGCTCAGTGGTTAAGCGTCTGCCTTGGGTTCAGGTCCTGACCCCGGAGACCCGGGATCGAGGCCTGCGTTGGGCTCCCTGCACGGAACCTGCTTCTCCCTCTGCCTGGGTCTCTGCCTCTCTGTGTGTATGTCCAATGAATAAATAATTAAAATCTTAAAAAAAAAAAAAAAGGTAAATCAGGTGACGTCAACCCTCTCCCCACCCCCACCCCTTAATAACCCATCTTTGCACTTTTCTAGTAATAGAGGAGTCACCCGTGGAAAGTCTGTTAGCAGGGAGATCCGCAGCCGGGCCCGGCGTCCCTAACCCGGAGATCCAAAGCCCGCAGCCGGGCTGGCGGGGCCGCAGGTGCTCGGGCTCTCGCCTGCCCGCCCACCTCCCGGCTTGCCAGCGTGCTAACCGGCTTCTCCGCTTTCCCAGATGGGCGAGCGCACGTGCAACCCGGGCCTTTGCACACCCGTCCCCTCTGATCACCTGCTCCTCCCCTGGTTTGCACAAGGTTGTCTCCATGCCATCGACCTCAGCTCAGCTGTCACCTCCTCAGGACACTCCTGGTCATCCCATAAAAAGCCACCCATCCCATCACCCTCATCTCCCTATTTTATTTTTTTAAAGATTTTATTTATTTATTCATGAGAGATACAGAGACCCAGGCAGAGGGAGAAGCAGGCTCCATGCAGGGAGCCCGACGCGGGACTCGACCCGGGCCTCAGGGGTCACGCCCCCTAACCTCCCTATTTTAATGCTCCGAAGGACTGTTCACGTATCTTCACTTTCCTGCTGGTTCTCTCACGGACGCACGCCCCCAAGTAGACGTACGGGTCTCCAGATCGGGAAGCCAGCGTCCTGGGCGGCCGCTGGGAGTCGGGAGCCCGCGGGGCCGCGCAGGGCGGCGGAGGCTCCGGGAGGATGGACCATTCCGGCCCGGGAGGCCCGCCCCCTCCCCCTCCCCACCCCCGCCGACGCACGGCGCAGGCGCGCGGTCGCCCGAGCGCGAGCACGCCGCCCGCGAGGCATTCTGGGGATTGTAGTTCCGGGCGCGCCGCGGCGGCCGCGGGCCTGCGTCGGCCACGCTCCCTGTGTTCCGGGAGGCCTGCGCGGTGCAGCTGTTGCCATGGCTTCCGGAGCCCGCGGCGGGCGGCGGGCGGCCTCGCCAGGCGGCTGCTAGCTCGGGCGGCGAGGCGGCCCGGGAAGCGGAGGGACTGCGGTGCCGGTGGGTCCTGGAGCCCCGAGTCCGGGAGAGCGGCGGGGCGCGCGCGGGGCGCCGGGTGTGTGTGGGGGGAAGCCCGTCTCCCCGCTCCCACACGCCCCCTCGGAGCACGGGGGCCTCCCCCTCCCCGTCCCACCCCACCCCCCGGGAGCACGGGGGCCTCCCCCTCCCCGGGAGCACGGGGGCCTCCCCCTCCCCGCGCCCACCCCACCCCCGTCCTCATCTCCCCGCGTCCACCCCACCCCGCGGGAGCACGGGGGCCTCCCTCTCCCCGCGCCCACCCCACCCCCCGGGAGCACGGGGCCTCCCCCTCCTCATCTCCCCGCGTCCACCCCCACCGCCCTGGGAGCACGGGGTCCTCCCCCTCCCCGTGGCTTGAGGGAGCTGAGCAGCTCGCCCAGGCCACCCTCCTGGGGAGTGGGGCACAGCCTGGCCTCGAGCCCGGTGGGCCCCTGTGCAGCCACCGGGCAACCCTGACCCGGAGCCCGCCGGGGCGCCTTCGGGTGAAGCGGGGGGTTGAGATCCCTGCGGTGCCCCAGGCTTCACGCAGCCTTGCACGGCCCGCGCAGCGACCTGGCGAGCTCTTCGGGGACCAGTCGTGTTGATGCAGCCCCGGGAGGTAGTGAAAGCGAGGGCATCGTGTGTGGGGAGACTCTCTTGATCTCCGTGAGCGTGCAAACCGGTTCAGAGATGTTAACTAACTGTCCTGCAGTTGGCCGACTTTGTGGGTGGAGTGAGGAGTCCAACCCATTTCTCTCTGCCCTCAAAGCCTGTGTGCTGGATATGCTGCCCTGGTGGGTGGTGACGGGGGTTTCTCCCAATTCACCAGAATTTGCACTTACATGGATGACAGCCGCCTGGTGTAGACCAGTCATCCAGGGAGCATGGGCCCTAGGCCAGCAGTATCCGTGTTAACAGAGAACACGTTAGAGACGAGCATGATTGGGCTCCACTGCACCCTCACCAAGTTTGCATCTGGGTCGGAGGCCCAGCATCCTGCACTTTGACAGGTGCTCCGGTGATTCCGAGGCCCACTAAGGTCGGAGGGCGACTGGTCGTTGATGCAGGGGTCGCGATAAAGTGCAAGATTCTGCGGCCCATGCGGGGTGAGAGCCGAGATTCTGCATTCCCAACAGGTGCCCCGGTGAAGGCGCTGCCCCTCGGACCGGACTTTGAGTCGCCAGGGTGTAAGCTACGCCCTGTAGAGCGGCGGTTCTCAAACTTGGACACACATCAGAATTACTTGGGGGAACTTGTGAAAGTCAGGCAGCCGGGCCCCACCCCTGACCAAATGAATCAGAATCTCTGGGGCGGGGTGGGGGTGGCGGTGGCGGTGGCTGCGGCTGCGGGTAGAAACTCACCAGGTGACTCTGACGTGCAGTGAGGGTTGGGTAGCAGCGGTAGGTTTGAAGCCCGGCAGCTCCACTTGTCAACTGTGTGACCATGGGCAAGTCCCTTAACATCTCTTGGTCATGTTTTCCTCATTTATAGAATGACTATAATTCTTGCCTTGCCGCGTAGCGTAAGGATTCTGTGCCATGTGTACCCGAATCAGCTGGCACCAAAGGGTGTTCCACAGACGCAGAAACTGGGGAGGTAGGCCGACTTGGAGAAGTCTGTGCTAGAGCCTGGCGGAGGTGACTTGGCCCTCGCCCCCGACCTGCTCCAGCCCCCGTCTGTGTGCTCCTCCTCCCACAGCTGCCGGCCCTTTGGTGTGGAAGAATGGCAGTGAGCCACTCCGTGAAGGAGCGGACCATCTCCGAGAACAGCCTCATTATCCTGCTGCAGGGCCTCCAGGGCCAGGTGACCACCGTGGACTTGCGGGACGAGAGCGTGGCCCGCGGCCGCATAGACAACGTCGATGCCTTCATGAACATCCGCCTGGCCAACGTCACCTACACGGACCGCTGGGGCCACCAGGTCGAGCTGGACGACCTCTTCGTGACGGGCCGTAATGTCCGTTATGTCCACATCCCCGATGATGTGAACATCACGGCGACAATTGAGCAGCAGCTGCAGGTCATCCACCGGGTGCGCAACTTCGGCAGCAAGGGCCAAGGCCGGCGCGAATTTCCCTCCAAAAAGTATAAATGAGCCTCTTCCCCAGCGAGCCCCTGTCCCCGCACAGGTTTCCCCAGAGTTCTACTGAGTCAACTGCCTGCTACCCTCCCTGTCCTGAGCCCGGAGAGAGAGTGAGCGGGGCCGGCCCAGAAACCGGTGTCTCCCACAGACACCCCCTGTCACAGCTGCCTTTCACCGGGTCCCATCTCCTAGACTGTCTCTGGGATCCTACTTACCTGTCCGTGGCCTTGATCGTTTACGTCAGAATCTGATTTACTGATTTAGGGACTCTGCCAAATAGTCTTCAGCCCTCTCCCAGTGAGGATTATCAAGTGTACCCAGCGTGGGGCGCCTGGGTGGCTCAGTTGGTTGAGCGTCTGCCTTCAGCTCAGGTCATGATCCCTGGGGTCCTGGGATCAAGCCTCACATTGGGGCTCCCTGCTCAGCAGGGAGTCTGCTTCTCCCTCTCCCTCTGTGTACCCTTTCTCTCTGTCTCTCTCTCCGTCTTAAATAAATAAAATCTTTAAACAAATTTTTTTTTAAAGTGTGCTCCACTGAAGCCACCCTGGAGTGTCGTGCTGTCTCACAATTGTGTTTGCTTTCTGATAAAACTTGGATGCAAACAAGTCCATGCCTCACGCTTTCCCTGATGCGTGCCGGACTCCGTGTGGCTCCTCCGCAGAAGCACAGTGGTGCGTAGACTTGGCCGCACGTTGCAGTCTGCCTGCCCCGCCATCAGCCGTTCAGATTTCATCGGTATGGCGTGTCGCCTGGGCATTGGGATTCTCGTAAGTCTCTCAGGCGATACTAATAGGCAGCAAAAGTTTGAGAATTGTAGGTGAGTGCTTCAGTCTGGCCGGATGGGAAGTGGCCCTTCTGTTCAGATTCCCTGGTGAAGAGGCTGCTCGCCTCCCAGCTCTTTCCAGAACCAGAGAGCTTGAGCTGATCCTGGGCCCTCCAGGGGGCCACCCAACAGCCAGAAACCCGGCTCCGGTTCTGAGGAGTTTGGGGGTCCTCAGAGAAGAAGGGGCTCTCAGGGGTAGGACCCAAGTCCCTCTCATTGCTGCCTTGCTGCCATACCAGTCCTGCCTTGGGCAACAACCATCTCAACGAAAGCGGCGGTGCCCTCTCCGAACATCCGCAGAGCAGCGGCCTGGTGGCCCTGTGCCAGGCCTGCGGAGCACACACTGTCGAGTTAGATTGGTCCCTTCGGGGATCCCTGGGTGGCGCAGCGGTTTGGCGCCTGCCTTTGGCCCGGGGCGCGATCCTGGAGACCCGGGATCGAATCCCACATCGGGCTCCCGGTGCATGGAGCCTGCTTCTCCCTCTGCCTATGTCTCTGCGCCCCTCTCTCTCTCTCTCTCTGTGACTATCATAAATAAATAAAAAATAAAAAAAAAAATCTCTCATTTCTAAAAAAAAAAAAAAAAAGATTGGTCCCTTCGGAGGGGGGCTTATGGTCTAGCAGAGGAGGTGGTCAAGGACCAACGAGCTGAAATCCAGCCTGAGAACTGCCGCCCTAGAGTCCTGAGCAAGGCAGGCCTTTCACCTCTCCGGGGAGACTTGAGAGGATTGTCCACTTGGGCACCAGCTGCTCTAAAGGTCACCTTCCCTCCCGGTCTTTGTCCGAGTATTGTCCTTGGGCAACCTCATCAGAACCAACCAGGATGTGTCTGGAAGCGCCTCTTTGCTGGCTCCACCTTCCCTAGATGTGATGCAGAATCACCCCAGGAACCTGCCTCGCTAACCCCCACACACCCTCCCACACCCCACGATTCTCTTGTATGCTGCTGATGTCCCGGCCTAGAGGTCCCCCAAGTCCATGAGACTTGGCCTTTGCCTTCAGGAGAGAACAGTGGGTCCTCGCGGGGTGAAAACAAGTCTGAAAAAAAAAAAAAACAAGTCTGGAATTTCCAGGCCCCTCTGACAACCACAGTTCAGGGCAGCGACACCACAAGGTGACGGCCGCTCAGAGAGACCAGAGGGCAGACACGGAAAAGATGTACTCGCCGTGGAGAGGTCGGCGCACTTGAAAGAGGCGGGGAGGGCCACCCTGTCTGGAGTGAGTCCCACAGTGGCACCCACTGCAGGCGTTCCCCCCCCTACTGCCTGCAGGTGTTTCCGAACTTGCAGAGGGCTTATGCTGGGGGTTTGGTCTGGAGCTGAAGCAGAGGTTCAGCTCCTGTCAGTGGTGTGCCAGCAGCTTCTGCAGCCTCAGTGGAGCAGGAGGGAACCCCCCCCCCGGCCGGGGAGGGAAGCCGTCAGGCTAGCGTGGACGGCTGAGACCCCAGCACCTAGTCCTGATTCCATAAGCACCGCGCGGCAGGCCGCACAGGCCCACAGTCCTCCCTACGTGAGGCATCAGAAGGATGGAGCAGGAGGAGGGGAGACAGGCCGCCTGAGACACACTGACGGTGAACCCCCGGCGTAGAGCGCAGCCAAATCTTCAAGCCCTAGAGATCAGGTCTTTTGGCACCTGGTCCTGGATTGCTGGCACAGGCTGCCAGGGTCCAGGAAGAGTGGGGGTGCGCAGCGCCCACCAGGCCGGGGCGAGCCGATTTCCCTAACTGCTGCCCACCGTCCACTCCACTATGCATCTCTAGTCCCAGAACATCCGGATGGACCAGAGTCCTGCCCGCGGGAAGCTGGCATTTCACAGGGGGAAACGGACAATTTTTTTTCAAAAGTGGAAAAAAAAAAGGTAATTCGTTGTGAAGGAAATAAACAAGGTACCTGAGAGAGAACACAGAGGTGGTTTTATTCTGGAAAGTGTGGTCTGAAGAAGCAAAATGTAAACCGAGGAGGAGGCTGCCGTTTAAAGAGCCAAGAGAAGGCAAAAAGAAACTGCCAGTGCAAAGGTCCTGCCAGTGCAGGGATCCCAGGGGTGGGAGCCCTGGGGGTGGACCACTGTGACCATGGGAGGGGAGAGAGGCAGATGAGGCTAGGGAAGGGGATGGGCTGGGGCAAATGATACCAGGCCTTGAGGGTGAGGAGTGTAGCTGGTCCCAGTTTCCAGTGCATGAGAAATAGAACTTGAATTCGTCGTAACTCCACCGACCTCCTGCTTCAGCCCATTCAGCCAGAGTGGCGGAAACTCAATGCTGCCCATGCCGAGCTCGCCCCTTCCCTGGATTCTAGCACATATCCCTTCCAGGGGGCCTGCGTGGGGAAGGTGGTCGCCCGGTGGTCTGGCCTTCTGTGGTCAGCCTGCCCAGGCTGCCGCTGAGGTGTCCTGACCTGACACCCCTGCAGGAGTAACCCACGCCCCTCTCGGCGTTCAGATGTTTAGCCTACTTTTCCAGCCCGTATTTGGCCCAGGAAACTCTTCAGCTCCTGGCCTGGTTAGGCCGTGTGCACCCAAATGCAGCACGCAGCTGTTTCTTCAGAGGGTTTTGTTACTTGCTGGCACCCCTGGGGCAGGAGCCCAGCCCTGGTGCTGCCCAGGCCCGAGACCTGGCTGACCCCCTCCAGCCCCTAGGCTGAGGAGAAGCCCATCTATTCTCAGGGACCACCCCCTTCCCCCACCCCAAGTCTCAGTCTCCCGGATCCCCCTTGTTACACAGTTTTCTAAATTTGTAGGTGCACAGAAATTCTTTCCATTCCTCCCTGAAGACTAGGCTTTTTGGTATTCAGAAGCTAAAAATGAGCTCTGCGTTCTGCTGTATGGTTTATTTCCCAAAGTCAGAGTCGCGAAGGCAGAGTAACCTGACTGTCTGCATAAGGGAAGGGAGGGACACCCAGGGAAAGATGAAAATATTTCCTTTAAAAAATTTTTTTTATTTATTTATTCATGAGACACACACACACACACATACACACACACAGAGGCACAGACACAGGCAGAAGCAGGCTCCATGCAGGGAGCCCGACATGGGACTCGATCCCAGAATCACACACTGGGCCAAAGGTGGTGCTAAATCGCTGAGCCACCCAGGCTGCCCAAAAACATATTTCCAAATGTTAATGCCCCGCTGGATGTGGGGTTTTGCTGCTCGTGGCCGTGGCCTTTGCTCAAGCACGAGTGTATGCCGACATGGGGGGCCCCATTGATAAGAGAGCCCCCAGAAATTCTGATGGCTCAGGTGGCCCTGGTGGGTCCCATCTTGGCCTGCCCTCCTAGAGAGAAGAGCACAGGGGGTGTCTTTCACTCAGGGGAGAGGACAGCCAGGGCGGGCGCACAGCTCCAAGTTCAGAGCTCCCTGGGGGACAGGGACAAGAGCATCCAGCCCGCGGAGTTCTAGTCTGGCATTCCCAGCTGAAGGGCCGCCGCCAAGGGCAGCTGAGGTCCCTTGAGCTCCCATCAATGTTGCAGAAAGGACCCAGAGAAACCGCACAACGCACCGCACGTGAAGGGTGACCAAGCCTAGCAGAGCGGTCAGAGGTCACGCTGGCTTGCTCCTATCACAAGCCCTAGCCATAATAAAACGAGGCTTATAGTCAATAAAAAGGAAGAAATGACTTGATGTAGGTTGTATGGGAGACAAAATCTTACCAAACACGAGGCTCGTGTGGAGGGAAAATACTAAGAGAAGCCTTTGACAGGGAGAAGATTGGGAACCACTTATCCAATCTAACTCCACATTCTACAGCTGAGGAGACAGAAGGGGAAGGGGAGGAGAGGAGAAGGGGACGGGAGGGGAAAGGGAAGGAGAAAGAGGGGAAGGAGAAAGGAAAGGGAAGGGGAAGGAGAAAGGGAAGGGAAGGGGAATGGGAGGGAAGGGGAGGGGAAGGGGAAAGGGAGAGGAAGGGAGGGGAAGGGGAAAGAAAGGAGAAAGGGAAGGGAGCCTCATGTTACAGGGGCCACCAGGCCCAGAGAGGCTAAGTGACTTGCTCAAGACCTGGAGACCCAGGAGCCAGGGAGGGGACAGCGCAGTAAGGATCTGAACCCAAGTGTGCAGGACTCAAACCTTTACGACTGCACTGTCCTGCTTCCCAGTGCTCCCGATGCCCCACAGCGGCGCACCTCGGTGGCGGTACCCCTGGGTGTGGGGCTGGCACCCAAAACTTGGCCGTGCCGGGCCAGTGGCTTGGCCACAAGGAGAAGCCGAAGGCAGCAGGAAGGCCCGCGTGCTGGTTACAGACGCCGGAGGAAGCAACTCAGGGCTGAAGGTTTCTCCCTCTCCTTCTGTGACAGGCGGATCTGCCTAGACCTCGTCAAGCAAGCATCCCTGCTGTTGTGACAGGCGTCACTTTGTTATGGCAGTGCCATCTGCCAGGGTTCCCGAAGTTGGAGAGCCAGCCGGCAGCAGGAACGTGTGTCACCGTGTGTGTGCATGAGTGCGTGTGTGGTGCAGCCAGTCTCCTCTTGTTGGTGTCAGGACGACAGTCTTCCACTTCCTCTGGCTGGCACCTTTTGTTTCTATTCATTACCTCTTCTCCCCTCTTTTTCTCCCTCCTCCTCTTCTTTGTTAAAATCCTATATTGTGAAGCAACTAAAAGTGTCTGGGGGCCGGGGATGGCGGTGTCAGCTCCAAGTGATTCATCTAGCTGACAATTAGAGAGCTCTGGAAAACCCAAAACCCGTTCCTGGCA